TTGATAATTCAATGCACGAAAGTCCTTCAAAGTCTTACTATTTAGCATCACTAAATCCCATTTTTCACGGGCTTTCATTTGGTATAAAATTCATCATATCTCCGATTTAGAATTATAGCGTTACCCCTCTTGAATAATATTATTTACCACCCTGTAGAATTTCTGACATAGCTAAGATTTAGTTCACAATGAGAATCCATGGTTGAAACCGCATAAGAAACTACTAATTGACAATAAACACCATTACGCAGATTTGTAGGTTTAGCCTCAATCCGTCACTTATCAATTTTAAATCTCATTTTGTCCACTTCAAGGTTTTTGTTGTTTAGTTCCCTTCCCGATTCATTATTTATGTGCACACATAGGCTGAATTAAATAAATAAATTATTTGCTATTAAAAGTACATACAAGATATACAAAAATTTATCCAATAATAGAAATTGCACAAGTTCAATGGTCACTATGTTCACAATACATTATATCATTTTTTAACCGGAGTTGTTTTAACAGCTCTGTCAGTTTTGGACGTTATTTATTGCTCCTTTTGTATGTTTATTAAATAATTCTTGATATCGTTCGAAGTTATGTCAGTTAAAATTGTTGAAAGTACATGGGCGGCTATATTAAAGATTTGTATACTCTTCAATGCTAATAAATTTAATGATTATTTTGTTCAAATCGATATGGATGATGACAGTTTATACGGGATTGGTGTATGGAATGTCCATATTGCTATTAATGGTTTACTAAGCACAAGGAATCATGTTGAGAGTAACAATTCTCATCTTGAAAGTAACTAATCCATACATTTCCATATATATCGTTTTATTGAATTGTTAGGAGATGAACACGTGTATCAACATCACAAATCTGAAAATTAGATTAACACAGAAGAAAAGAGAATAAGCTTTATAATGATATTGATAGTAAATTAAAGCAATTACCTAATGAACATGGAAAATAAATAACGTCCAAAACCGACAGGAGTTGTTAAAACAACTCCTGTCAAAAACTGATATAATGTAGTGTGAACATAGTACCCATTGAACTTGCACAATTTCTATTAGTTAATCCAAACTACTGGGAACGTCTCAAAAACACGAAAATTTTTCGTTTTAAGAAAAACGGCTTGTGCTTTTTTCTGAAGTATCATGGAGACTTGAGCTTACTATAATTGGATTCCTTATTCAAAACTGCATCTAGCCAAGGTACTCCCAAGTCTCTAAATCACAAAGTGGAATTTTGGCAAGACTCGGAACGTATATGAGTCAAGAACCAAGACCCTTCGTTCAAACATCCTACTAGTTATTTGTGTGGAGGGCTAGACATTTGATTCACACATCATTAGATAGACCAGGTAGCCAGCTTTAAAAATATGTGGAGCTTTTTTTTCAAATTTTCTTTCGTTGCTGAACAATAAAAGTACCATATTCGGCATTAGGATTAAAAACTGAGTCGACTGATGTGTATTTCGAAATTTTTGTTTGATTTTTTAATTTTGTGTGGTAATTTTTCAACGTGAAAATTCGAAAAAAATTGAAGTAGTCGGATAGGATAGAAATATATATCAATCGATTTAGTTTTTAATCCTAATTCCGAATATGGTACTTTTATTGTTCAAAAATTGAGTTTTGATTGAGAAGAATTACGGACAGAAAAAATGACTTTTCTCAGCAACGAAAGAAAATTTGAACAAAAGCTGGGAGTATCTTGGCTAGATGCAGTTTTGAATAAGGAATCCAATTATAGTAAGCTCAAGTCTCCATGATACTTCAGAAAAAAGCACAAGCCTTTTTTCTTAAAACGAAAAATTTTCGTGTTTTTGAGACGTTCCCAGTAGTTTGGAGTTTCCTATGAATGAAAGCGTTTTCTTAGACTGGGAAGGTGATATTCGTGCATACATAGTGCATCTACACTTAGACTGCAAGTAGATATAACTTTATCCAATACACAGGTAAGATACGCAGAAGTAAGTAACAAGCTTCAATGTGTACATTAATTATAGGTTCGTCTTCTTTCTGTCTCAATCGTTCTTGTTTCACATGCTTTTCAATGTTTACACAATCCATGCCTCAAAACAGAATGCGTTAAAATGTACAGTAGTTATTCGAAATGCAAGTGAGGGGAAACAGAAGAACAAGAAAACATTCTTTAAACTCTTCCATCTCATTCCGCACATTTCGTCAGAAAGAACCGAAAATTACCCAAACAGACACTGTTTATCGTAATGACAAACAAATCTACTTCTAATTCAAGATTTACTGATCTTGGCGAAGAACCCCACAAGCTCTTATTACCCATTGAAGGCTATCAACATATGGAACTGATGTCACTCGAAGATGCGGTTCGATCGCTTCATCCTATAATTGACAATTTAGCAAGAAATGTTTGGATTGCAAAAGATAATTGTAAATTACCACCTGATTCTCTAACAGTTGACCAATCAGCATCTATCCATTTGTACACCATGGAGTGGAAACCAAGCAGTAATAGTCTCTATTCCATTCTCAATCGAACATTAAGGAACGAAGATCGTGACAGTCTCATTCCATGGTTTCCATACCTGAAACTATTTCTGACAGCTCTTCACAACATACCGTCTGTCGAAGAAGTGGTATGGCGAGGAATAAAAGCTGATTTGAGCATGAAGTTCAATAAAGGCGACACATTTGTGTGGTGGGGTGTTAGTTCATGCACAGACTCGATAGATGTACTCAGCAAAGAGCAATTTCTTGGCAAAACAGGGACACGAACACTCTTCAGTGTACAATGCCACAATGGAAAGAAGATTCAGTCACATTCACATTATAAACAAGAAAATGAAATTCTTCTGCTGCCGGGAACATACTTGAAAGTGAAAGGTAAAGTAGATGCTGGCTCGAACTTACACATTATTCACGTTGAAGAAACAACTTCCCCATATGTGCTTTGTGAATCCCCAACCGGCAATCTATTATGCAAGAACGAACGCCTACAAGGCCAGCTCGAAGCACTTGATTCCGTTTCGGAAATAACGCTGCAGAATACCGGAATTGACGAAAAAGACGCGCAAGTATTGGCAGAGGCATTGAAAGTGAATACAACTCTCACCGCTCTCGATCTAGGAGGGAACCGAATATCTGATGGCGGAGCTGAAGCACTGGCAGAGGCATTGAAAGCGAATAAAACTCTCACCACTCTTTATCTTCAGAGTAACAAAATATCAGATGGAGGAGGTGAAACACTGGCAGAGGCATTGAAAGTGAATAAAACTCTCACCACTCTTAATCTTTCTGTAAATCTAATATCTGTTGGAGGAGGTGAGGCAGTGGCAGAGGCATTGAAAGTGAATAAAACTCTCACCGCTCTCGATCTAGGAGGGAACCAAATATCTGATGGAGGAGGTGAAGCACTGGCAGAGGGATTGAAAGTGAATACAACTCTCACCACTCTTAATCTTGCAGGGAACCAAATATCTGTTCGAGGAGGTGAAGCACTGGCAGAGGCATTGAAAGTGAATAAAACTCTCACCACTCTTTATCTAGCGGGGCACCT